AAAGTGTGGCACATAATTCAAGACACATAAGCAAATAAAATAACAATATAAATCTAAAACAATGAAGACACATAAATCCACATATGATAAAATTATAAAATTTCACAAAACACACTAGAACCTGCAAATAAAACTGGCTATCTACAATTAACAAACTAAAGTGCTGGTGTGAAACAATCACTTTCTCAATCTGACCATAATTTATACAAGGTGAAAGGCTTGTCTAAAAAGCCATGTTTTTAAACTAGCCCAAAAGTCTTGAAGAATGGGGGCCCATAACCACAGAAGATACTGGAGGGATTTGGGTAGAATTGACAGTGCTTTAGGGGAGATGTAGTTCACCTACATCCAGAGAGCACTGTGAACCGAAACAACTATGGACCTAGACCAAACTTGGCATGAATACTCAATATACCCAAATTTGAACACTGGTGGAGTTTTGGAAAAATAGACCTTGACATTTGGGAGTTGTAGTTGCTGGGGTTTATAGTTCACCTACAATCAAAGAGCCCCTTGTACCCAATCAATGACAGAATTGAGCCAAACTTCCCACAAAGAACCCCCATAGCCAACAGAAAATACTGGAGGGATTTGGGAGAAATTGACAATGATTTAGGGGAGATGTAGTTCATCTACATCCGGAGGGCACTGTGAACCCAAACAACAATGGATCTGGATCAAACTTGGCATGAATACTCAATATACCAAAATATGAACATTGGTGGAGTTTGGGAAAAATAGACCTCGGCATTTGGGAATTGTAGTTACTGGGATTTATAGTTCACCTACAATCAAAGAGCCCCTTGTACCCAATCAATGATAGAACTGGGCCAATTCTTACACAGAACCCCCATGACCAACAGAAAATACTGGAGGATTTGGGATGAATTGGCAGTGATTTAGGGGACATGTAGTTCATCTACATCCGGAGAGTACTATGAATCCAAACAGCTATGGACATGGACTAAACTTGGCATGAATACTCAATATACCCAAATTTGAACACTGGTGGAGTTTGAGAAAAATAGACCTTGGAATTGAATCAAACTTGGCACACAGAACTGGAAGGGTCTGGTGGGCATTGATCTTGAGTTTTGGAGTTGTCGTTCACCTACATCAGAGAGCATTGTGAACCCAAAGAATGATGGATGTGGACCAAATTTGGTACAAATACCTGATGCACTGAAATTTGAATGCTGGTGATGTAATCCTCCAATTATGAAAAGGTGAAGCTCCCCTCCTGTTGTATTCCTACTAAGAAGATTGTGTTTCTTTATGCAATTCCCAAGTCCCTATGTGCTTTGAGTGAAGGTGTAAGCATATAGACTTCCACTCAAAAAAGAATTATGTTCAAATATATTTATAACAACATTTTGTAAAGAAAACCAAGGAAGTGAACGAATCAAATTGGACTCTCAATGTGGACATTGGTATGGGAAAACAGATCTCAAAAATAAAATAAGTGTGGAGTCTGATACTTGTGGTTTAAAACCTGACAGTGAATTCCTAAATCAGAGCTTTGCACACATTTCATGTTGGTGACACACTTTGTAGACACAGTAATTCAGTTTCACTAGCAAATCGGAGGTTAAACCAATCCCTTGTAAGAGATACAGAGATATCAATAACTTGCAATCACAAAATGAATTGGGAATACAATGAAAACCTTTCATTTACATTTCTAAAAATATATTATTTATTGCTTATTTCACACATAGGTTTTTTGTTGTGTTCGGTTGACACATCAACACATATACAACACATCACAGTTTGGAAAGCTCTCTCTTTAGTGATTCACAGCCATCTCCAAACTTTCCTAGTGGACAACACTCCCTATGTTGAGAAAGCTGGATGTAAATGAGGACAAGATTAATTTAAGCCAGTGATGAAGAAATGAAGATGAATCAGAACATGTCCACATCATATCACTTAAGCTTGTGTGGCTCCATCCTACTGAACTCTGTGATTTGAAGGTAAATACTCACAATTCTATTCTAGAAACTCATACTGTGGTTCAGAGGAAGGTACAAATCCTGAGATGCCACACGAAACAGCTGTAGCAATCCCAGTGGCATCAAACTGCTATAATTTTTTTAAATTTTTTGCTTCAAAACATTCAAAACATAATACAATCATCTTTTCACACAATGTATTCCTGAATTGATATCCCCCACCCCTCCCATTACTCACAAACTATTCTAAATACAGAGCTCTGACACAATTCTGTTACTTCTACTTATTCTAATTTCATCCTTTACATATAAATATTGTAATAGGTTTTCTAATTGTTCACCCACAATCTTTCTTGGATGCTTGATGGCTTAAATATGTCATTGCTTTAACATATGAAACCAATAAATACTTTCCATATGTTACCAGATAGATAATGATAATGTTAGCAATAATAATAATAATAATAATAATAATAATAATAATTATTATTATTATTATTATTATTATTATTTTATTTCTTACCCATGACTCATTTTTCATTTCTCCCTGTGTTAATCTGAATTTAGAGGTTAACTTTCCCGAGAGAACTATCACTCATATTCCACTTCACCAGTTTCTTTATTGACAAATCCTCTAGCTTTTTCCAGCTTCTAACTACAGGCAGTCCCAGAGTTACAAACAACTCATAGTTACAAACAGGGGTGAGACAAAGTGAGAGAAATCTATCCCTAGGAAGGGAAATTTACTCCTGAAAGAGTTATCATGGGGAAAAGGTGTTTCTGCTGAAGCTTTCTCACCAATCCTTGTTTCCACAACAAGCCAAATTTTTCAAAATCCCATGCTCATAGGGACAGAAAGTGAAGAGAAATCTTCTGAACAGGGGCACAGGAGAGCAAAACACCACAGAGGTATTAACCATTCCCTATTCTATTTATTGTTGTTGTTGTTGTTGTTAGACAACAAGAATGGTACACACCAAACAAGATCACAATGCTGGCTTTTGTATTAAATCGCACGTTGAACACTATTATTATAGTATTTTATATTATAATAGAATATGTTATTATTATATAATATTATAGTATAATAGAATATATATTAAAGTATAGTATATATATTATTTTATTATAGTATTGTCTTGCATTTTATGTTAAATGTGCTTTGATTTGTATTATGTTGTGAACTGCTTTGGATCCCATTAGGGAGAAAAGCGGGATGTAAATAAAAATTATTATTATTATTATTATTATTATTAGTATTATTATCTGTACTTTGGTACAGTTAAGAACTAAGAGCCAAATCCTTACCCATTTTTAACTGTGCTGCCTATGTTAGATTTTTAAATTGTTGACCATGCTTTTAAATGTACTTGTTTACTGATTAGTTGTTCTATATTTTTATTTTGATATTTAGTTTCATTTGATTAGTACAATGCTGTTATTACTCCGTATTATGTTTATTGCTGTAATGTTTTGATATATGCAGGGCATTGAATATTTGCCTTTGTATCATGCTGGCCACATGACCTTGGAAGTGTCTATGGACAACACCGGCTCTTCGGAGATGAGACCCACCGTCCAGGTGGATCTCACCTTAATGTCAGGGGAAGCCTTAATGTCAGAGGAAACCTTTACTTTTATCTATGTGTAAACTGCCTTGAGTCCCCCGGGGGATGTAGGGTGGTCTAAAAATTAAGTTGTATTATTATTATTACTATTGTTACTATTATATTTATTTATGCCCTGCTTTATCTCCCCAAAGGGGACTCAAAGCAACTTGACACAGCACTAGTATACAATTTAAAATATACAAATATACAAACATTAAAATAGAATTAAACACAAATTTATGCTATCCAAGGCTAATCTATCTATCTCTGGTTGGAGTTACAGTTAAAATATGTACCTGTTCTGACTTCCATACACATTCAACTTATGAATCAAGCTACAGAACCAGTCTTGTTGATAACTGGGGGACTGCCTGCATAGGGATGGATGCTTCTTATTATATTTTATCTGAATCCAAGCAGAAGCCTCATTTGGAGTTACAGTTGGAAGGACTGGGAGTCCTGCATCAACCCAAACCAATTTAGGCCAGCTTCTCTGTGATTTTTCCACCTTTGCAGGGATATTCTGCTCCCCTAACTGGTGTATTTAGAGCAGTGTTACTCAACCTGGGAGGCTGGGACCCCGGGGGGGGGGGGGGGAATCATGAGGGGGGGGTCCTCAGGAACCAGTATTTTCTGTCGGTCATGGGCTTTTTGTCCCAATTCTATCATTGGTGGGATTCAAAATTCTCTTTGATTATAGGTGAACTATAAATCCCAGCAACTACAACTCCCAAATGTCAAGATCTATTTTCCCCAAACTCTACCAGTGTTCACATTTGGGCATATTGAGTATTCGTGCCAAGTTTGGTCCAGATCCATCATTGTTTGAGTCCACAGTGCTCTCTGGATGTAGGTGAACTACAACTCCCAAACTCAAGGTCAATAAGCAAGTAGTACCTGATGTATAATGGAAAACTATCAATAAAGATATTTAAAAAAATACCCACCAAACCCTTCCTGTATTTTCTTTTGGGAGTTCTGTGTGCCAAGTGTGGTTCAATTCCATCATTGTTGGTGGAGTTCAGAATGCTCTTTGATTGTAGGGGAACTATAAATCCCAGCAACTACAACTCCCAAATGACAAAATCAATCCCCTGCAACTCCACCAGTATTCAAATTTGTGCCAAATTTGGTCCAGTGAATGAAAATACATCCTGCATACCAGATATTTACATTAGAATTCATAACAACAGGTACCGTGGGAAGGTAATGACGCTCCAGGCAGTCATGCCGGCCACATGACCTTGGAGGTGTATACGGACAACGCCGGCTCTTTGGCTTAGCAATAGAGATGAGCCCCGCTCCCCCTGAGTCAGACACGAGTGGACTTCATGTCAGGGGGAAACCTTTACCTATATGCACCCTCCCAATGCAGGGGGAACTGTATTGCCAGAGTTTGTTGCCTTGTCCTCCTCCCTTGCCCTCCTCCCTGGCTCACCTTGGCAAGGGAAGTCCGCCTCCCGTCCGGCGCGGCAGCGGGCTCCCACTCTCCGAGCCATCCATGCGGGAGATGCCCGCGAAGCCTGGGGTCGCCGTCTCCACGCCGCTCCTCAAGGGGAAGACACTCCACTGGCAAGTGCGGCGGTGCCAGGCGGGCAGGGCGAGCGAATCATCGCGGAAGGGGCGGCACAGCAGGCAAGGAGCGCCCGCCCGCTCGCCCGCCTCCACGCGTCTCCTCCCCTCGCCCACGAAAGGCCGCCTCCCGTGCCTTGGCAAGCTGGCATTCTGAGTCCCAGATTGGCGACCAGAGGGGACCGGGCAAAGCTGCCCTTTCCCTTGCCTCTCTCTGGGAAGGAACAAAGCGGAGAGAGTCTTCCCCCAGGAAGGCGCACCCTCCCGGCTCCACCAGGTGGCAGCAGCCTTGCTCTTGGCTTCCCCATTCCCCCAAAACAAGGCAGGAGGGAGCCCAGAAGGCAAGGCTGCTTGGAGAGCCTCTCTCTTGGTGATACATTTCTTCATCACCCTAGAGCAGTGGTTCTCAACCTTCCTAATGCCGTGACCCCTTAATCCAGTCCCTCATGTTGTGGTGACCCCCAACCATAATATTGTTTTCATTGTTGATATAGAAACAAGGATGATAACTCTTCCTTATGCTAGTCAAAGTGTGTGTCCTCTCTCTATAGCTAGTTTTGGATAGCATAATGCATTTGGGGCATACCTTCACTTGTTTCATGTCCCAGCTTTTGGTGGGGACCCCAATCCATTTTTTGGGAGCCTCCCAAAATTGGGAGGGCAGATATCTTTTCGTGCTGGGGTATCAAAAGATCAGTTTTTTATTGGCCCATTATTGGGGGAGGGGGGCTTCCCAGTCTCCCCTTCCTGTCATTTTTGGCATTTCAGCTGTTTTACTCTAGAGAAGAGGTGCACAGCTGCAGGCAGGTGCATGTTTTAATGAGTCTTCTTACCTGTTTCTTATTATAGAGGAGGCACTCGAATGCAGGTAGGCGTGCACTTTCTGGGCCTGCATGCCACATGCACTTTCCAAGGTAAGGAAGCAAGTTCTCCAACTCCAAAGGAAGTGCTCAGCTGCAGACAGGCTCACGTGCTTTCTGGACCTGCACTCTCTTTCCAAGGCAAGGAGGCAAATTCTCATTCTTACTCTAGAGGAGGAGCTCGGCTGAAGGCTGGTGTGCTCGCTTTCTGGGCCTGCATGTTGGGGTTCAGCCTGATCCTGATCTGTGTGAACAGGATTCTCTGATAGTTTTTCAAACTGAGCAAGCTCTCCCTGACTCTGACAGTGTGGAATCTGTTGTTGATGCAGAGGTCAGTGGGAATGAAAACGAAACCCAACAGTTAGAAGAGAATGTTTTGGAAGTTAGCCGTGATATCTCCCCACCTGGGCTTGATAATGAGGTCCGAAGAGAACAGATAGTCAGAGATAGATTTGTTTCCCAGTCTGTACGAAGGTCACAGCGCCTTCAGCAGAAAGAGGCCCAAACAGAAAAGTCAAGGGGCGTTTCTAAGAATAGCTTCTTTGGTTTAAGAGCATCCCTGCCGGGTGCTTCTTTAGGTCAAGCAACGTTCGGGACTGTGGCTGGTCTTGGCAGAATTCCTGTGTTCCATGGCCAGTAATCCCAGAGGCTTATAGTTTCCAAGTTCATGGTTTAGTAAAAGGCTAACAGACTCCTGGTTATTGTTTTTTGGCTTTTGAAGTTTTGCTCAAGTTCAGAGATCCTATTGACTACTGTGTTTTTCTGTGGCTTTTTTACTCTGCATTTACCTTTCTTTTGTAACCATTTTTTCATCAATAAACAAGGATGGCTTTTCCTACAGTCCAGAGTGGTGGATTTAATCTTATGGTTTTGTTTCTTGAACTGGGATGCAACACTGCACACCATACATGAACTCTCTTTCCAAGGCAAGGAGGCAAGTTCTCATTCTTACTCTAATGGAGGTGCTTCCTTGCAGGCAGGTGTACACACTTTTTGGAACTGCATACCACACACACATTCTCTTTCCAAGCAGGGAGGCAAGTTTTCATTCTTACTCTAGAGGAGATGCTCAGCAGCAGGCAGGTGCATGTGCTTTCTGGGCCTGCACACCACACACACACTCTTTCCAAAGCAAGTAGGTATGGGGCACTACGTGCGCACTAAAAGCAGGCGAGGAGCCGGGATTGGCTCCCACTGCCTTTCATGTCTAGATGATTTTTGTACCAGGAGTGGATTTTCCTTTATGTGCTCCCAAAGGTAACAAAAGTAACAAAAGAATGGATGAAATGAAGGGAAAAAATTACCACACTGATAAAATAACTGCTTACCATTTTAATAAAATGTATCCGGTAATAGGACGAACACAGTTTTTGACTATCTGGTGGAACATTAGATAAAGACTCTTGCAATTTGCTATTGAGCACTTTTTAAGCTTCCAGATTTCAGTGATCTTGCTTATTTTACCATGACTCAGAGATGACTTACTATTTTTTGTGTAAAACACCTAACATACTGCAGCCAACACGTGAACGCAGGCATGTAGCCGGGGGTGGGGGCTTGGGGGGCTTCAGCCCCCCCCCCCGAAATTCTCATGGTGGTTCACGAAAAGGCCTTACTGGTACATTATTTAAACTGTTATGTTTATTCATATCATTATCTGATCACCATGCTCAATATATCCCATATGTGTGGGGGTATTGGGGTAATGATACAAAAGGTTTGCTAGGGTAGACCCTCTTTCACTCAGACTCAGCCCCCCCAAACCAAACTCAGCCCCTCCCGAAACAAAATCAGCCCCCCCCCCCCCGAAACAAAATCCTGGCTACGGGCCTGCGTGAACGTATCACTACACAGATAATAATGATAATAATACATTGGTTACCTGCCTCTTCTTGTGACCAGATACTATGTCTCACTTACTGATTCCTGCAGGACAGCAGGGTGGAGACCAGTGTTGCTTAAACTATCTGATGTGGAGGCCTTCTGTAGACCACTACTTTGTGTACTGCTGGTGTCAATGATTGCCAGTAGAAGTGCCTAGAGCAGAGCTTTCCAAACATTTCATATTGGCAACACACTTTTTATATATGCATTATTTCACAACACAGTAATTAAATTTTACTAGCAAAACAGAGGTTAAGCCAAACCCTTATGAAAGAGCCAGACACATAAATATGTGCAAGAATTAAAAAAATTATAACACTGATAAAATCACTACTTACCATTTTAATGAGATGTATGAGGTTGAAGGGATGAACACAGCTTTTGAATATTTGGTGGAATATTAGATAAAGACTCCTATCTCAAGTGTTTCGAAGCTACTAGGTTTCAGCAGTATTGCTTATTTTCCGCTTTGAGTCCCCTCAGGGGTGAGAAAGGTGGTATATAAATGCTGTAAATAATAATAAATACATGGACTCAGAGGTTTCTTGTTATGTTCACCTAACACACCTACAAATGGCAGCTGGCATAGTAACATGTCATGACACACAGTTTAGAAAGCTCTGCTCTACAGACACCAGGACATGACCTGCTAGCTCACTAACCAATTCCTGCAGGACAACAGGGTTCAGATCAGCTCTACATAAACAATCTGTTGTGTAGGAGCAACAGTGTTTTTTCCCCACAATGTGCCAGCAGTAGAGTTGAGCTCCTTGACTACAATTGTTTCTATATTTTCCTGGAAACTCTCTATTGACTGGCAGCTGAGAGCTCAAGGACTGGCACCTGTCCATACACCAATCATTTGGGTAGTGTTCGTGTTGATGATTGCTGATAGAAGTACTTAGGACCTTATGTATCTGCAGTCTCCCTTAGAGTTGTGAGCTGATGGGCACTGAACCCAACTTTTCTTAGTCCTCCATGCTATCAGCAGACTCTGGGGCAAGCCTGGCAAAAGGCTCTCCAGAAGGGTGAAGTGCCCCTGGGTGGCCTCGCTGAGCTCCAGTGAAAGAGGTCCAAAGGTCTGGCTGCTCCCATCTTTTGCTAACATGCTCCACTTCTTGCTTGTTCATTCTCTACTTTACTCTCTAGAGTGAGGAAGCATGAGTGGAAAGGTAGTCATAGAATCATAGAACCAAAGAATCATGGACCATTGAGTCCAATCCACTGCTCAATGGAAGATCTCCATCCAAAGTATCTCTAGCAGATGACGGTCCAGACTCTTCTTGAAGAATCCGCAGAAGGAGACCCCACCATCTCTCTGAGCAATTTGTGGTACTGCTGAACTACTTTTCTTGTGGAGAAGTTGGTTTGTTTGTTTGTCTATGGGTGACACAATAGTGGAATGAAACCACTTTTGTTGTTGTCCAAAAAAGGTGAGGAAGGATTCTGGAACTGGTTTTTTTTGGGGGGGGGGGTGGACAGGGGGAGTGGAGGAGGCTCAGGACTGACAGGCAGGTCATCATGAATGTTGCTTATATGCACTTACTGAAGTTCCCCAAGCAGAGCTTTAGCCAAACTAAGAGTTTCCTCCAGAAGGATTAAGTATCCTGTTCTTTTGGGGAAAAGTCATACTCACCCTAAAATAACAATATGAACAATAACAAAAATTTAAATAACTAGATGAACCATTACAAAAAAAGAAGAAAAATATATCCCCTCCCTTGTAATAAGATTCTTTTATACAGCAATGACTCCTAATATTCAAAATTTCACTACAAATCTGTTGGATTTCTTATATAAGTGCTGTTTGGAATGTATCTCAAATAACAATTGTTTTTGTGCTGATTGATTATGATTTCACGATGACTCGAGATGTAAAAGCTCTGGTAATTAAAAAATATCTCTCCCATTTCCTTCAATTTTTGTGTCATCCTCTCCCTGCTCCTCAAATTAGAAAAACTGAAAAAACTAGACTGTAGAATATTTTCCTTGTAAACTGGTAAAAAAATACTCCAAAAATCCAGAAGATTTACAAAATGATCTCCAAAAAGTAACACAACTCTCAAAATCAATAGGACTAGAAATGAACTTGAAGAAAATGAAATGGATGAAAAATGAGCAGTGTGTCCAGAGCTGCATCATTATAAATGGAAATGAAATTGAGGAAATGACTGAATATGTCTATCTTGGACAACAAGTATAGTTAAATAAATTGGCAAATGGAGAATGGGCAAGAAGATGAAAGGCGGCTTGGATGGTTTTTAATCAAAACCGGATAGAGCAAAGCAGATATCTTCAACACTACAGTTCTACCAG